TCGCTCTCCTTCTGCTCCTGATTTGGACCTTGAGATTTCAGTCCGGTGCTCCAATGTGGGTCTCTGTCTCTGTCTCCTTTCATCGCCTGATGAAGGTTAATATTCAGGAGGATGCCTATATGTTTTTCTTTGGGTTCTCCTTCTTCTTTAGCTTCTCTAAGAACCCGAATTGTAGGCTCAATGTCCTTTATTTATGGCTAGAAACCAAATATGAGTGAGAACATCCCATGTTCCTCTTTTTGGGTCTGGCTTATGCAAAACCTATTATTAAACCTTCCCGAAGCATTGTTCTCTTCCTTCCTTCCTGCCTTCCTGCCTGCCTTCCTTCCTTCCTTCCTTCCTTCCTTCCTTCCTTCCTTCCTTCCTTCCTTCCTTCCTTCCTTCCTTCCTTCCTTCCTTCCTTCCTTCCTTTCTGACTTATTGTTTTTATCTTATGTGTTTGAGTATTTTTTTTTTTGCCTGCATGTCTGAATGTATACTGCATACATGTAGTACCTTCAGAGACCACACGAGGGCACTGCATGCCATGGAGCTGGAGTTACAGATGGTTCTGAGCTACCAGGTGGCACAGCTTTAAGGGTGGTATATATATAGATGTGTGTGTGTGTGTGTGTGTGTGTGTGTGTGTGTGTGTGTGTGTGTGTGTGTGTGTGAAAAAGGAAATAACATCTTTTGACTACTGTATGGGATGAAAACCCATAGACCATGTGGCATGACCAAAGATAGACTTGAGAGTCTCTATTAAGCCAGCCCGCGACTGCCTAGGAGAAAGACTTCTCTCGGAGCAGGCCTGCATGCATGTTTTACGAGATTTCAGAGACAAAGAACATAAATAAACCACATCCTGGTTGGCAGTTGCAGGGGGAAGCAAGCAAGAAATCTAACAGGAGCCAAGAATATGCAATGAGCTGGATCATTGTGACCCTGAGTTTGTGGAACGAGGTAGGGTGTTTTTCTACAGGACTTTTCAGGGCAGAGGGTAGAAATCAAAGATGGTTGAGATAGCGTGGAGAAAACTTAATCCTGTTACAGCCACCTGTCGTGATGGGGCGTGTAACCATACTTCTAACCGTACTGTCTTGTTTTCTGAGACAGGGTCTTCATGTAGTCCTGGCAGTCCTGGAGCTCACTCTGTAGACCAGGCTGGCCTCAACCTCAGAGATCAACCTCTGCCTCCTGAGTGCTGGGACTGAAGGCCACTATGTCTGACCCCGCGCATTCTGTAAAAATCCACGTGAGAGCTTGCGAGGTGGCCCAGTGAGAAAACGTGCTTGCTGTCAAGTCTGCTATCCTTAGTTCAGCTCCGTAGATCCCCATGGTGGAGGGGTAGAGCTGGGTCTTCCAAGCTGCCCTCTGACCTCCACATGCATGCCACATCCCCATCAATAAATGCAATATAAGACATTGAAAAATAACCAGATGTGATCGCTTATGCCTTTAATCATAGCATTTGGGAGGCAGAGATAGGCAGGTCTCTGTGAGTTTGAGGCTAGTTTGGGGTCTATATAGTGAGTTATGCTACGGCTAGTACTACATATTAAGACCATGTTTCAAAAAAAATAGTTAAAAAACAGTAAAAAAATCCTTGTGATTCAAAATTGATGTATCTTATAATTGCTCTGCCTTAGAGTTGGTGAAATATAGAAGGTACTAGAAAGGAAATGGCAGATCTGATTGACCTTGTCCTGCTGATCCAGCTCTGGGTGACTGAGCCCAATGACATCCGAACGATATTTACAGTTAGAAGTCCTCCAGTGCCTTGATGACAGACCTATGCAGTGGACAGCCATAGCATCCTTCTGTTCACTGTAGTTCCTTTAGTTCCTGTAGTTCACTGTAGTTCTTGTTCGCTCAGCTTTCCAGGAGGCCTTGAGGTTTTTTTTTTGTTGTTGTTTTTAATTTTTTTTTCTTTTTTTTAAAGATTTATTTATTATGTATATGGTGTTTTGCCTGCATATATCCCCGCATGCCAGAAGAGGGCACCAGAACTCATTACAGATGGTTTTGAGTCACCATGCGGTTGCTGGGAATTGAACTCAGGACCTCTCAAAGGGCAGTCAGTGCTCTTAACCTCTGAGCCATCTCTCCAGCCCCCAAGACCTTGACTTTTAAAGGCCCTAAGAGCCTCTCACCTCCCTGCTAGGGCCCGTGAGGAAATGACAGTAGACACTTAATAGATACGCAGTCAAGACTCATGCGGGCCAACTGACGTAGCGTTGCGGAGCTGAGAAGACACAGCTAAGAGGCCCGGTCCTCACCCAGCGTCCTGTTGTATTTTATGTGTGAAGAAGTAACTCAGTGCTCAGGCACTGGATTGTGTTCAGGGGCTCAGGGAAAGAACAGCTTTTCCAGTGGAATGATGGGGCAAAGTCTGAGAGCAGAGCTCAGCCTGACCTTGCTGAGTAAGGCCAGGAGGATCAGGGCATGGTCCAGGGCCCCGCGGGTTGGAAGCTGGAAGGCTCACATTGGAGGGACAGGCACCAAAGCTAGTTCTGTTATTTATTTACTTAAAAATTGAGGGATGGGGGCTGTGCACAGGGTTTTTTGTGTAGCCCAGGCTGGCCTCACCCCTGCCTCAGCCTCCTGAGTGCTGAGGTGACTGGAATGCGCTACCGTGTGTGGCTTACTTAAAATTTAAACACACAAGTTTGTGTTTCGTTCTAGTGGCGATGCATGTTCACCATGGCAAGATCAGGAAAGACCAGAGAATTCGAAAGATGGAAATCACCTGCTTCTACATTTGTTGCAGATAGAAGTTTTGTTTATTTCTGTAGCTGTGACACATGTATTTGTAGCCCACCTGTATGCAAATTTACTGTTGATGACTTAATAATATACTGTTGAAATGAATGATACTCCTTAAACGTTTTTACTTTACTTGCTGCTTGTATTATACCCAACTATGTTATAAACAGCAACACAGCGAATCTCTCTGTAGGCCAGAGCATTTCAAAACTAGAAGATTTTCAATAACTTAGGTTTGTAAAAGTAGAATTAGCATCGTGACAATTGTTTGTAAAGGAGTTGTTTTTCTTTTGTACTTTACATGCCGTTTCCTAGTGCTCCAACAAAATACACAGGAGAGGTTTGGTTAGCCCACTGGTTCCCAAAGCTGGCGGTCCAAGATTAGGTGGACCCTTCAGTTTGGTCTCCGGTAAGGCTCCCTTGAAGGTTTCACAGTGTGGTTGACCGTATCATGGTACAGAGAGCTCTCATGGTAAGACCGGAAGACAGAGGGCCAAACTTGCTCTTTTAAAACAAATATCTCTTTTTCTTTGTGTCTGTCTGTCTGTCTGTCCTAGCACTAGCTCTGTAGACCAGGCTGGCCTCGATCTGCCAGCCTCTGCCTCCCAAGTGCTGGGATTAAAGGTGTGCGTCACTGCTGCCTGGCAAAACAAATATCTCTTAAGGGAACTAACAGGGTCTCATAGTCACTGCTCTGTTGCTGTGAAGAGACACCATGGCCAAGGCAGCTCTTATAAAGAAAGCATTTAGTTTGGGGCTTGCTTAGAGATTCAGAGGCTTGGTTCATTACCATCATGGCAGCGAGCACGGTGGCCGCAGTTGCGGTGCTAGGAAAGCGGCTGAGAGCCACATCCTGGTCCACAGCAGAGGAAGGACCTGGTGTGGGCTTTTGAGACCTCAAAGGCCACCCCCCACTGATCCTTCCTCCAACAAGGCCACACCTTTTAACCTTGCTGACCCTTTTATTTTTTTTATTTTTTATTTTATTTTATTTTTTTTTATGTTTCAGAGACTGAAAAGTCTATTGTGAACAAGAACATTTATATACATATACATAAAATGTCAAATCATTTGAGCAAATTGTTGAGGCATTAAAATTCCATATCATTCTTTCTTATAAAAATGTTTGACATTTTAGAAAATTACACAGTAACAAATCTACAAATAAGTAACTAGAGGACTGAGAATTTAATTCTGATAAATTTATAGAACTAGCTACTTATCAGTTTGCAAAGAAAAGTCTCCCAAGATTTGGTCCAGTGTTTTTATAAAATTGTGCTTTTTTTGCTTCTTTTCTCTTCTTTTTTATTGATTTTTATTGAGCTCTACATTTTTCTCTGCTCTCCTCCCTGCCTCTCCCCTCCCCTTCAGCCCTCTCCCATGGTCCCCAAGCTCCCAATTTACTCAGGAGATCTTGTCTTTTTCTACTTCCCATGTAGAGTAGATCCATGTATGCTTGCTGACCCTTTTAAACAGAGCCTCTGCCTGCTGGGCTCAAGCATGTGAGCCTCTGGGGCCAGTTACTCAGAGCACCATACTGAGTTTCTTAGTGGGGTCTCTATTGCTGTGATAAACACCGTGATCAAAAACAACAACAACAAAAAAAAAAAAAACTGAGGGAGGAAAGGATTTATTTTGCTTGCACTTAGAAGTAACAAACAGTCCATCGCTGAAGGAAGGCAGGGCAGGAACTGAGGAAGAGGCCATGGAGGAACACCGACTTGCTCCTCATGGCTTGTTCAGCCTCTTTTCTTCCTTTTCTTTTCCTTTTTTTTTTTCCTAGATAGAGTTTATCTGTAGCAGTCCAGGCTGTCTTGGAACTCACTCTGTAGACCAGGATGTCCTCTAACGCATGTGCCACCACTGCCCAGCTCAGTCTGCTTTCTTATACAACCCAGGACCGTCAGCTCAGCAGAGGGTACTGCTCACAATGGGCTGGGCCCTCAGACATCGGCTGTCAGTCAAGACAAGGCACCAGACTTGCCCATAGGCCAGTCTATTGGCAGCAGCTTCTCAGCTGAGGTTTCCTCCTCCCAGATGACTCTAGCCTGTGTCAAACCAACACAAACTAGCTAGCCCAGCGGGCTCCACAAGATCTGTCTTAATCTCTCTCTGAGGCACAGCCTAGGTGACCTAATGAACCCTCACGAGGTCCCACCTTTTAGGAGTCATGTGAGCCTTTGTAGGGCAGTGTGGCCACAGCCAACAGCATCAGGTAAGAAAGACCCCTTCTTAGGATTCTGACGGGAATCTATTTTCTGGCTCTTTTCTCTGATGTCATCATTTACATTCCCTGTACTTTAACCTCAGGAAGCGACTGTTTTGTTCAAGTTTGCGTTACAGATGACCAACAGTCGACTGAGTAACAAAATAATAGAGATCTTATCATTTATTCAGTTTCCAGGTCCTAGGAGATACTTCTGCGAGTCCTTTACTGCCAGCCATGACCGTCTTGCTGGAAACGAACCTCCGTTTTTTTCCTCCAGAGCTTCATACAACCTGAGTTAATTCAAGAAAGTACCAGAGGGAATGGAAGGGTGTATAGATTTTAGATAATGGTGTTTTTTAAGAAGATGAAATTGTGCGTACAATTATTCTGGATGTCATTTCCACTATTGCCCTTTTCTAATGACTTGCCTCTAACACTGCTGAGGAAAGGAAGTTTAGAGTCAGCTTAAAAGCTGCCACATTCTCTTAAAGCTTTATACTTCCTGTAGATCTCTTGTCCGAGAGCAGTGGGACAATGAGCCATGTGAGCTAACATGCTTACAGACATCTGTTTGTGACCTGGCTGTTGAGCCCTGCTGAGTTTGATTTGTGACTGTCTTTGCCTTACTGTTACAGAGCGGGGTTGTGCTTAAATAGAGAAATGATTTCATAGATCCTGGGGTTATTTTCTTCATAGATTGTGCCTTTATATTTCATTCTGATTCTATTAAGACATAAAATTTATCTCTAATTGTCAATTCCTCTTAATTCCACAAGAAAATAGAATTTAAAAGAATAGACTCTTCGGAAGTTAGGAATGAGCAGGAGAAACCATGAACACATTTTTTTCAATGTTCATATCTATTTTTCATAATAAAAAAAAGAACTAGCTTGCTGTAACAAGCAAAATAACATGTGAGTTTGCCCACGTAAAATGGTGTGGTTTCTCTGTCTCTGAGACGTGTGAGCTTCTGCCTGCCTCATCTGTGACATTTACTCCTCATTTTACAGAATCGTCACACATCTTTCCTGGGTTCCAAACACAACCTCTTGCCGCTGGTGTGTACTGCATGAACATGACTGTCTAAGCCAGTGTGTTGAGGGGTCAAACGACCCTTTCACAGGGGTCACATCAGATATCCTGAATAGCAGATATTTATTTACGTTATGAATTACTTATGAAGTAGCAACAAAGTAATTTTATGGTTGGGGGGGTCACCACAACATAAGAAACTGTATTAAAGGGTCACAGCATAGAAAGGTTATAGACCCCAAGAGATATCTAATAGTTAACAGGAGACAGTTGTTACTTCCTTCTGTCTTTTCCTTTGCTGGGTTCTGGGTCTCAGTTTAACCCCTCACCTTTGGCTGTGATAGGCAAGCCCTATCTTGGGAAAATTTTGGAAATGATCCCACATCTGAGACAGGCGTTTTCTTTCTGTAGCTTTGGAGCTTGTCTTGGAAATAGCTCTGTAGACCAGGCTGGCCTAGAACTCACAGAGATCCACCAGCCTCCCAAGTGCTGGGACTAAAGGCATGCACCACCACCGCCCAGCCTGGAAATGATAAATTATTTAAAGTCATACTCAGTTTAAAGTCAGCCATTAAGTTTTAAGCCACTTTCCCTTATACATTTCCAAAGAGAAATAGGAAGGGTGATACACACACTCAGTTCCGGGTGCCTCCAAGAAGCCCTGCTGTAGAGAAGTCAGAGCCTTGCCTGGTCCCCAGTGGCACACATCATTGCTGTACCAGTTCTTCTCCGTGACAGACATCCCCAGGTGAACAACTTGGTGGAGGAAGGGGATTCATTTATCCAGTGGTTCCATCTGCTGCGCTCTTGGGCAGAGTACCTAGTGTGGGCACATGCGGCAGAGGGGGCATTCTTTACTTGATAAACATAGGGAGAAAATGAGCAGGAGCGTCCAGGTACAACCCCCCCCCCCCCAGGAGACTTCCTTCCTTCTCAGCTAGCCTGCATCTCTTAAAGCTTCTTTAGCCTCTGCCAAATAAATAGCGTCACCACCTGGGGACATGAGAGCAAGAGGGTGACTTTCATGTCCATCACAATAAACAGCCCAAAGCCAGGAAAGCAAGATGACTAGCTAACTGCACGCTGTGTCCTTGGAACTATGATCACCTCTGGGTGTTGTGGGAGTGAGGAGAGGCAGAGGGTGACTGGGCATTGGGCAAGGAAAGGTATTGGGTACATGACAAGAAAATATTGCAGGATAGACACTGAGTACCAGAGGACCCCAAAGTGAGCTGGCGGCAGAGGAAGACGTGTCCATCGTTGTCAGAAGATCACGAGTACTCCAAGTAGGAAGAAAACGCCAGTGCATGCTTGCAGGCGTTCTGCTTTTCCCACGCTTCACAGAACGGCCTCTCAGAGCATCTTTACGGGGCCTCCAACTCTGCCATACGTTGCCTGGCCTCAGTTACCCTCCACAAGATCCTCAATCTTGTATATTTCATGAACATGAGTTCTGGGGACTGTCTGTCCCATTAGCAGGACCGCTCTGGTCAAGGTGTGACCCCGCCCATCACAGCCTGTGCAGGGTGTCAGCCGCAGTCTCCTGGAAGGCAGTCTGAGGTCCTCAGAACCCTGTGAAATCTCTTCCTGTGAGACAGGCTCCCCTCTGGCTGGCTTGTTCCTTCTCTCAGTCTGAGATTTAGGGTAGGGTGGGGGAGGGGGAACTTCCAGTTTCTTGGGGTTCACTGTTTCAGTAGTCTGATGGCCAGAGTTAGGGCAAAAGCTCTTTAGAGAAACCTTCATTCCTGCTTGCCACTGGCAGCTACCCACACCCCCTCCCCCTGCCCTTTGCCCCTTGGCTGTAAACATCCCTTTGCTTTAATACAAAGTCCAGTCCCTCTGCCCTATTGTAGAGAAATAGTTTTCTCCCTGTTAGAATAATCATGAATAAAAACGACATTTTAGCAACTTGAGACATCAAACAGGAACCGGAGGTACCTTGTTGGCCTTGGCTTTGTAGTTTAAGATATGCTGGCATTTGGGGTGACAACTGACAAGAGTCTGCCTTGGGGGACCTGCAGGGAAAGAACCTGGAGCCTTGTCTAAGGACTACTCCTGGTCTCAGGCTCTGCAGAGAGCTCTGAGGCGTCAGGCATGGAGAAACGAACGTGGCTCAGCCCTGTAGAGCCTCAGGGCCTGGTAAGATCTTTCCACCTTCAGATCCCAGCTGGCTGGAAGCTCCTTGGCCATTGCCAAACTGCTCTCCGGCAGCTGCCCAGCAGCCTGATTTCTGATTTCAAAATCACACCATGTTTCCGCAAACGATGTATGCTTTAGGTCAAATAAACAACCCTACAAACACAAAGAAGCTGTTCTACATTGATTGTAGGGGAGGGTCAGGGTGAGTGAATGAGAGAGGGAGGGAAAAAGGACAGGAGGAGGTGAAAACCACCACAGCTGAGCCACCCCCTCCCCGCCCAGGCTGCGTGAAGATGCTCAACTTGGATTGGCGGGAAAGGGTCAGGAGCTACAGGGCCACTGGCGACAGCGCTTAGCTTAGCGCAGCCGGCGCCTGAGCGCTTAGCTTAGCGCAGCCGGCGCCTGAGGTGAATCAGCGCCCGCCCCGTCTGCCCTCGCCATGGGTGCCTCTGGCTCCTGGGCTCTGGCCCTCCAAGGCTTCTCCGCATCCCGGGTCCCCCGGCAGCTGCGGTCCACCTGGCTCAGCGTCGCCGCGCTGGGACTGGTCGCGGTGGCGCTGGGGACCGTGGCCTGGCTTCGCGTGCGTCCCCGGCGCCGGCGGCTACAGCAGGTGGGGACCGTGTCACAGCTCTGGATCTACCCGATCAAGTCCTGCAAGGGGGTGTCGGTGAGCGAGGCGGAGTGCACCGACATGGGGCTGCGTTGTGGTCACCTGCGTGACAGGTACGTGAGCCTTGCGCCCCCCTGACCTAGGCTGTGTGGGTGCGCGAGGGCGTGGGTCTCCTCATTCCTTACCAGATAAGAGATCAGGAACTGGGGAAGGGGCGCCGGGAAACGGAAGAAAGTGACCCTGACCCTCCACCAGCCACTCGGGGGACCTGGAACTCTCAAGTCTCCAGGTTTCTCACTTCCAGTAGAAAATAACTGTGTTCCCAATAAGACATGCCCTCCGCCGGCTAATCCGCAAGAAGAAACTTCAAACTCCCTCACGGAGCCCTTGGTCACTTTCCTTTTAGTGGTATTCTTCAACTCTAGAGAAACTAAGACAATTGATGCCAGAGTGCAGAGGGCTTGTAGGCGCCGCTCGTCGTTATTGTAACAGTTGAACACTTTCTTGCAGTAAAAAAAAAAAAAAAAAAAAAAAAAAAAATCGGCAAGTGTTATTTTCCCCAGACTCTCATTAGGTTAGAAAGTCTCTGCGTGCGGGGCTGAACCTGAGATTTGTGCTGTCTTTAGTTACTGGGATTTTGTAAACAGCGACTAAAAGCCCGTGAGGACTCCCAGACTTCGGGAAGGGCACCTCTGCTCTCTTTGGATCTGATTTCCCTCCCACCAGCTCTGGGCACACAGACTGACAGGTGTTGTAACCTCTGGCTCAGCTCTGGAAAGCTAACACCAGCGGTGAGCCTCCCACCTGGCTGGTCCAGTGCGCACGCTGATAGACTGACTCAGCGAAAAGAAATAGAGATTTATTTATTTATTTATTTATTTATTTATTTATTTATTTATTTATTTATTTATGTCTCAAAACCCTCCTTGTCCCATGGCTGATTTGGGGGCGGCCTTTACAAAAGGTCGCTGAGTGACTGAGGACTGACTGGTAAGCTCCTCCTCCTGGCGTGGACCTTGTCTCGTGTGCCCCTCATCACCTTGTGCTTTTTGCAGTCCTCCTAGTCTTGAGAAAACAGATCATTAGAGAAGGAGGTGGGTGGCTGCTCCAAGGCCTTCCTTCTAGTTGGTTGCCCGGCTCCCTGCCCACCCCGCCCCCCACTTGAAAATCCACCAACCACCCCCTCCTTTCACCCATACACTGCGGTTCACTAGAAAGTTGAAAACTGATCTGCCGCACCTCTGCTTCAGGCAGCCAAGAGTCCTAACTAGTCCCTGATTCCTAGAGTGGGGTCTCCCAGACAGCCGCTTTCTGTCTTTGGATAGTTTCTGTCGGAGGCAAAGGGCACTGACATTATGTTACCTCATCGATTCAGAAAACATGTTTTGAACTTGTACCACAGCTGTGGTGGCAAACTCCTTTACTTTTGTCACAAGCTCCCAGGGAACTGAAGCAAAAAATAAACAACAACAACAAAAAATCCAGCCAACCAACCAACCAAACAAACAAAAGTCATCAACTGATCCACTGGGGAACTGTGACAAGTGCCAGGAAACAGAGAGGAAGGTCCTGGAGGGTAGGGGGACATTCAGGGAGAATTTAGCAAAGGACAGTAACAACTTGTAAGTGAAAAACTAGAAAATGACTACACACTATCCAGGCAAGTAAGTTTCCCAACATTCTAAAGAGCTGGGCGTAAATCCCAGGCTTAAAGACTGGCACCCGCTGATGCTTTACCAGAAGGATTGGAAAACAGGGGCTTGAGTATAAGAAATGTGTTTTGCAGTTTTGAACCTTGACTGTGCACAGCAGCAAGTAAGAAGTGGAAATGACCCAGATGTCCGTCGAAGGATGAGATGATTAAGTAAAATGTGGTTTATGCGGATGGTAGAATATGCCCCAACCTTGGAAAGGAGTGAGGGTCTAGCGCACGCTATAGCACGGATGAACAATGAGACAGGGTGCTAATTTAAATGAGCAGGGCAGAGGGACTAGCTGTGTATGGTTTCAGTTCGAATTGCTGGACTCCAAATTCATAGACAGAAAGTAGAGTGGAGGCTCTGGGGCGGCAGGAGGCAGGTGTGCTGAGTTATTGTCTAACGGGTGTAGAGTTTGGAAAGATGAAAGGTTCGGGAACTAGCGGGGAAGGTTGCACAACACTGCGTGTACTTACCGTCGTGATGCCACACTTCATGTGGCTTCTCACACTTGTGGGCTGGGTCTGTCCTGGGTTCTTGGCCAAATCCAGGGCCCACATAGACTCTCCAGAGAAGCTGGTGATGCTATTTAAAAGCAAAGCAACAACAGTATAGCTTCTAGAGGAATATGCTATCAAGAATGACAGAAGCCAACAGGGCGTGGTGGCACACACCTTTAATCCCAGCACTCAGGAGGTGTGTGTGTCTGTGAGTTCAAGGTCAGCCTGGTCAACAGAGCAAGATGCAGGACAGCCAAGACTACACAAAAAATCTCTGTCGTCTTGGGGTTTCTGTTGCTGTGAAGTGACTCCATGACCACCACAACTCTTTGTTTAAAGATTTGTTTATTATGTATACAGAGTTTTGCCTGCATATATGCCTGCATGCCAGAAGAGGGTGCCAGATCTCATTATAGATAGCTGTGGGCCACCGTGTGGTTCTTCCAGGACTTCTGGAAGAGCAGTCAATGTTCTTTACCTCTGAACCACCACTCCGGTCCCCACGGCAACTCTTATAAAGCAACTCTTATGAAGGAAAATGTTTAATTGTGGAAGCTTACGGTTCAGAGGTCTAGTCCCTTACTGTCATGGCAGGAAGCATGGCAGCTGGGAGTCTGATGGCGTGCAGACAGACATGGTGCTGGAGAGCGAGCTGAGAGTGCTTACATCTTGATTCACAGAGAACAGGAAGTGGTCTGAGATACTGGGCATGGCTTGAACATATGTGAGACCTCAAAGTCTGCCTCCAGTGTGTCACACTTCCTTCAAGAAGGCCACACCTCCTAGTAATGCCACTCCCTTTGGGGGCCATTTTCTTTTAAACCACCACACCTGTCTTAAAAACCAAAACAAAAACCAACCAACCAACTAAAAAGCCACCTGAGTAAGAGTTCTCAAGTTCCCTGATTTTTGTTCCAGGCTGGGGATGAATAAAAAGAGGACTTGGTTACTAAGGAGCACAGTGAGGGTGGCTCTCTACCTTCACTGAAGATATATATTCCCTTTTCCTACGGCACACATCCCTCCTCATAGTGCACGTCATTTCAACCATATGAATTATATGTAATCAATTATTCGTAGGAATAAAATGGTGTCCTGGTTAGTTTTTTTGTCAAAACTCGACACAAGTTAGAGATATCTGGGAAAGGGAACTTCAATTGAGAACACACCTTCATCAGACTGGCCTATGGACAAGTCTGTGGGGCATTTTCTTGATTAATGATGAATGTGGAACGGCCCAGCCCCCACTGCAGGCAGTGCCACCCCTGGCCTGGTGGTCCTGGATTGTTTAAGAAGGCAAGTAGCACAAACTACGGGGAGCCAACCAGGAAGCCGCTCTGCTTCAGTTTCTGCTCCGGGTCTTCACTCCCCTGGAAGCAGAAAGGGGATGCACTTGCTTTTCTGTCGTTTTCCTAGGAAGTCAGCATCTCCAAGCCTGGGGAATAGTGGGCTAGAAAAGTGTGGTAAAGATGGACACTAGGTCTTTTTAGCAAATTGCAGGATTCACAGTACCCAGTTTTTAAACATTTGGTTGGCCGGTCTGGAGAGACGGCTCAGCAGTTAAGAGTGCTTGCTGTTCTTGCAGGTGGCAGGGTTTTGTTGCCAGCATTTGTACTGAGGCTGGCAGCTGCTGGTAACTCAAGTTCCAGGGTATTGTATGCCCTCTTCTGGCCTTTGCAGGCACTGCATGCGTGTGGTGCACACACCTAAATGCCCATAAACATCAAACACATACAATTTAAAAATTAAAAAAGCAGTGCATGGAATTGGCATGACCGGTTGTTTAGCTGCATTCTACGGCTGCAAACTCCTTGAGGAACAGCCTCCTCTTTCTGTTCCTGAGAGTTCAGTTTCTGGTGAGTCTCTGGCTTTCTGTGAAGTAGATTCTTAACATCTTCTTAGGGCATGTTTAATGAACGTGGTCAAGTCCTGACAATTGGGGTAAAGTATACTTAACATCTTTGCCTCAGAGTGTTCCATCTGTTATATATTAATTGTTGAGTGGTTATCTGCCCTTTTAAAATGAACAGACATTGTCAGTCAGTCCTTGTTTGCAGCCAAGGCAATGCTAAGGACAGAGAGACAGGCAGGCAGGTGAGCAGGCACATATGCACACACACGTACACCCCTGGCTTCTTACCAGGAGAAATAGGAGGGGGGTAAACTATGACTCTGCTAATGGCTCAGGCTGCCTGTGCTGGTTTTGTTTGGACAATGTCAGGTTTTGGCTTGTGATCAATGAAGACGGCAACATGGTCACTGCCCGGCAGGAACCTCGCTTGGTCTTGGTTTCCCTGACCTGTGACAATGACACCTTGACTATCAGTGCAGCCTACACAAAGGACCTGCTGCTGCCCATCACACCCCCCGCCACAAACCCGCTCCTCCAGTGCAGGTGAGTAGAACGGGCCTCTGGCCTGTGGGAGCAAATCTGCATGCAATCTCTCTTTACTTCAGCTTTTAATTGTTTAAATTCACAGTTAGCTTACAAAACAATAGATGGGATTCATGATGACAACTTTACACACACAAATTGTACGTCGCTCATATTAGCCCCATATTCTCTTGTCCTGTACCCCTCAATTGGTTCTTTATTCTCCTCAAATAATTGTCTCAATATTTCATACCATATTTGTATATACAGGGTTGGGGATGCAGCTCAGTGGTAGGGTATTGGTCCACCACTCACAAAGCCCTAGACTTACTCTCAATATTACCCAGTGTAGGCATGGGGGTACACACCTGTAACCCAGCACTGGAGAGGTGGGGGCAGGAAGATCTGAAGTTCAGGGTCATTCTTGGCTATATGGCTCATTCAAGGCCAGCCTGGGCTCTATGAAACCCTATAGATAGATGATGGATAGATAGATGATAGATAGATAATAGATAGGTAGATAATAGTTAAGTAAATCTATATAACAGAAATGTGTCATTTTTTTGCCCCCTTGCTTTCCTTTAGACCTCTTTCTCCCATGCATGGCCCCTCTTCACTTTCATGTCCTATATACACATGAATGAACATATATATTTGTGTTTAAATCCAGATTGTGCCTATGCTCTTGCACTTTTGAGGAAGTTAGAACAATGGAGGGGCCAGCCTGGTCTACAGAGTGAGTTCCAGGACAGCTAGGGCTACACAGAGAAATCCTGTTTCAAAAACAAAACATTTAAAACAACAAAAAACATGAACATCCAAGGAAGCCCATAGTCTATCCATCCTGGTCAGACCTGCTGGCATCAGCCTGTAATCAGAGACTGAGGCCGGAGGATCATAAGTTCAACAGTAGCCTGGGCAACTCAATGGGACCTTGTCTGAAAAAAATGAAGAAAAGGTAAAAAGCAGAATGGAGATGTGGTTCAGGGGTAGAGTGCTGGCTTAGCATGCACAAGGTCCTGGGTTCAAACTCTACCACTGCAATAAACACCTGCCCTCTCTCTTCCCACCACAGTGGGCTGGGTCTCCCCTCAATCGACAGTCAAGACAATCTCCTACAAGCCAACTTGAATTGGGCAGTTCCTCAATCATGACCGATTCTAGGCTTGGTTCTTAAGGGTTGGGGTTGGGTCTTCATGCTTGTACCAACTGAGCCATCCCCTCAGCCTGTTCATGTTCCTCTGAAAACTCAGTACACTTCAAACCTATTACCTCTCTGCATCCTCCAAACACACCTTTCAGGCAGGGGACACAGCTATGCTTCAGTTGCTTTTGCAAATGGGAAGAGCAAGGATTGAAACAGCACTTTCTATTCCATTTCATGTCTACAGTGGCCCTGAGGCAGGGCTGAGCTAAAGGCAGGCCTTCGGGTTATGAAGGGATGTTGGCCATGTCATGGTTGAATCTTTGCAGTTTCTCTGATCCATCCGGGCATACAGGATTACAGTACTCACAGCCTCTGAATTGTCCCCACTGCAGAGTGCATGGTCTGGAGGTGCAGGGCAGGGATTGCGGAGAGGAAGCCGCTCAGTGGATCACCAGCTTCCTGAAGACACAGCCCTGTCGCCTGGTGCACTTCGAGCCCCACATGAACCCCAGACGTTCTCAGCTGCTGAAGGCTCGGTTCCGGTCCAAGGACCATGTGAGAGGCTTGGTGTGGTCTGAGGGTGTAGGAAAGTTGTGTGGGTTTTGCCACGTGTGCACATCCCTGGTATGCTAAATGCTGTGGTTTCCACGGCAATCTCCAGGCTCCAGAGACGCCAAGCAATAGGCAGAAAGAAAGCACTTGCCAAGCTCAAAACCTGGGCTCTGACCGCCATCATGAGTCAGGCTTCTAGATAGAGGACCAAAGGTATGCAGAATTATTAAGTCCTGCCCATCACCACTATCTAGGTGCCAGTCTCTCCTGAAAGTTGTCGGAAATGCATGAAATCTCTTCTTGAGAGACAAGATCCCTCCCCTGGATGACATCATGGCCCCAGCTGTTTTCTTCTCCCCTTACCTAAGATTCCTGGGAATATTCCAGGTTCTTAGACTCCATTGTATCTACAGTCTCAGCCAAAGGGAGAGCCACAAGTGTCTCTTGGGAATACACTCATTCCTGACAGGATGGGTACAGGAGTGGGGTTCCTTTTGTCTTGATTTTGGGGAGTGTCCACTCCCCTGGAGTATCCACTTTCCTACTTGTGTAAGTATTCTGGTGCCAATAGATATACAACACAATTTATTCTAGAGTGGTATCATTTTTGATCAATTCTGTAATGGCATGGTCCAACGTTTTTAGCTTCCTTACAACTGTGTGTCAGATTACAAGTTCAGGCCAGCGTATGTGTGTGGAGCAAGTGTGTAGAGCAGGTGTGTGGGACAGGTGTGTGGGACAGGTGTAGGGAGCGGGTGTGTAGGACAGGCGTGGGGAGCAGGTGTGTGGAACAAGTATGGGGAGTAGGTGTGGGGAGTAGGTGTGTGGGACAGGTGTAGGGAGCAGGTGTGTGGGACAGGTGTAGGGAGCGGGTGTGTAGGACAGGCGTGGGGAGCAGGTGTGTGGAACAAGTATGGTGAGTAGGTGTGGGGAGTAGGTGTGTGGGACAGGTGTGGGGAACGGGTGTGTGGGACGGGTTGTAGAGCAGGCATGTGAAACAGATGTATGGAGCAGGTGTGGGAAGCAGGCATGAGGAGCATGTGTGGGGAGCCCCAGACTTCACATGGTCAGGGTAAGGCATAAGGCTGCAGGAATTCCTCATGGTCAGTAGAACCAGACAACTTTAGTGTTAAAAAAATGAGGGCCAATATTCATACTTGATATTAATTTTAAGGTTGCATAAAGATAGGCACCTATAAAATTAGGGGACTTCTCAAATGTAGCGAAGCCATCAAACTTGACTACCTTATTAAACACTAAGGAAATGGATGTTTAGGAAGGTGAGACGGCATCTTTAAGGGATGTCTAGTGACTCTGAGGTCATTTTCTGTTCATAAACTAAAAGAAGAATTTATAGGTATGGGTGTTATGCCTGAATGTATGTCTATGTACCACAAATGTGCAGTACCTATGAAGGTGGGAAGATGGCATCAGAGCCCCTGGAACTGGAGTTACACATTGTTGTGAGTTACCATGTGGGGGCTAAGAATTTAACTCTGGTCCTCTGCAAGAGCAGCCAGTGCTCTTAATAGCTGAGCCTTCTCTCGAGTTCCTTTATGTCATGCAGTTCTGCAAGGCCAGTTAAGGCGTTGAGTTGCTGTGACATTTCTATGTAAGGAACTAGAAAAATAGCTATAAAGACATATGTATGTATATGTGCACACATTCATATGTGTTCATATGTACACACGCGTGTGTGTATGTGTACATGTGTGTGCATGCATGTTCGTATATGTGTTCATGTGTGTTTATGAGTGTGTATGTATGTCTGTGTATGTGTGTGTGCATGCGTGTGTGTGTTTGTTGAGGCAGTGCTGAATTTTCAGGGACTAGATCATGATGTCCCCTCTGAGGCATATGTGCTCCACACTTTATCCCAATCTCTGTTTCTTTGTCAGGTGGCTTACTCAGATGTAAGCCCCTACCTGGTCCTGTCTGAGGCATCCTTGGAAGATCTCAACTCCAGGTTGGAGAAGAAAGTGAAAACTATTAACTTCAGGCCCAACATTGTCGTTTCAGGATGTGATGTTTTCGCAGAGGTAACATTTGGCCTGCGTAGCCTCTTTCTTTTTATTTTGTGGAAGGTGTAATAGTTATTTCCAGGAGGCAGATCACTGTCATCCAAGCACGAAGGGTGGAGGCAGAGGGTTTGGAAGTTCAGAACCAGCCTCAGCTACATAATGAATTCAAGGTCAGCCTGAGCCACACAAGACCACATCTCAACAACAACTAAAGCATGACAGTTACTAACGCTGATTTAGACTCTTGCAAGACGTGAGTTGCTTACTGCCTCTGAGCTGCACAATGGTTCTACTTTTAGGTTTGTTGAGCCCCCACCTAAAATGTGAAGGCTTGTGCATTGAAGACACACGCAGGCGAGGCAGAGCTGTTTCTCTGTGAGATCTGAGGCTTGCAGGGAGAATCCTGAGTCGGGGGATTGACTGTTGAGATAATTTACTCAAAATGGATCACATGGTCTGTGTCACTCATGGAACAAACAAGGTGGTCGTGTGTCTTACTGCCCATCCCAACCACCTGGTTTCTGACTAGGTGCTGCCTCCCCTGAGGAAGACCAGCATCCTTAGCATGACTGCTAGGTAGGGATTAGGGTGTTTATCAGCTTGCTGGTGTTCCCAAACACTTTCAGGCCCCCCTTCCTTGGGCCCTCAGGCATCCCACATTGTGCCTCAGCACGGAGAATAATGACACTGGTTCTAGTGTCCCGGGACGTCCTGGAAGCTGACCGTCTTAGGATTGCCTTTGGATGTTGTCTCGGACTCAGGCTGATCTGTCTTGAAGTCCGATGCTGGTCATGACAGAACCAGACGTGAGAATTATGAAGACGGTGGCAGTAGTGGTGGTTTGAAAGAAATGTCCCCTATAGTCCCAGGCATTTGAACAGTTGATCCCTATATAGAGGCACTATTTGGGGAGGTTTAGAAGGTGGGACCTTTTGCTTGTACACGTGGTTCAAGCTATGAGCCCTCAGCTCTCTGTTCCCCACTGACGTGACATTGCCCTGTCTGCACAGACTCTAGCTTCAGGAACCATAAGCCCAAATACACTCTTCCTTCTCTAAATTGCCTTGGTCATAGTGTTTTGTCACAGCAATAGAAAAGTAGCTAATATAATAACGAATATG